CACTCTGGCCCTGTACCAGGAAGGTGACCTGTGTATGTGGGAATGGCAGTATCAGTGGCACCATGCTCCAAGATCGGGAGCCACCCCTGTGATTAGACATAGAAATAGAAGCAGGAGGAAAATGACAGCCCTTTTTCTTTTTAAATTTTTTTATTGGAGTTCAGTTTGCCAACATTTAGCATAACACCAAGTGCTCACCCCGCCAAGTGTCCCCCTCAGTGCCCATCACCCAGTCACTCCAAGCCCCCGCCCACCTCCCTTTCCACTACCCCTTGTTTGTTTCCCAGAGTTAGGTGTCTGTCATGTTTTGAATGATAGTCCTTTTATAGAAATCTAAATGACCCAGCTTCAGGAGGCCTAGTGAAAAACCTACTCTTTCCCATCTCCTCTCACAAAAAGCCATAAGAAAAGTTCAAGTGCCCAGAAAAGCCACTGAAGGAGTCAAAGAAATATATTTATGCATTTTCTAAATTTAGAGCAGTGGAGAGACATACCGTTTATAAGTGCTTGAAAGGTGTAAACATTAAGAAAGTAAGAAGATGCTGAAGGACTGCACAAGAAACTACATCTCAGAATATTTGATGGAACAGGCTGAACATGAAATTATTAAGGAAATGAAATTTGGAAGAGGCCTGGTCATATAGGGTATCCGTGTGAAGGTATCCTGTCCTGTCCCCACCTTTTCCCTCTAATTGAATAAAGGAATGTGGGAGGTCATGTGGGGATTGATTCAGGGAAACAGATGAGTAAAAGGGATTTTAAAAAATTATGGTGAATGATTATTTTCTATTGCCTGGCCTTAGAGCAGAGACTAAGAATGAACAATAGTAAGGTCATCTGAGAACATTTAGGGTATGGAGAAAATAAATGAACTCTCAGCCAGTTTAATGTAAATGGTCCTCCAGGTCAAATTTAGAGAAACTGAGAAGTCTATAGCAGCCTGCAGGGCCATGAAGGCTCCCATTAGGAAATGAGGGGCTTACTGATTTGGAAGAGAAAGAGATGTATTTATTCTTGTATTTTATTTTTTATTATGAATATTTATTGTTATTTTTAACCCCTCCTTATAATGTAAAATTCCCCTTTGAATACACCTACTTTCAGTTAAGTGGATAAATGATGAGGGTAAGAATATAAGTTTCAACACAGGAAATAATCCTTCAGTGAGCAGACATCTACCAAGTAGAGTGACACCAGCCAAACATATTTCCCAACTCAGAATTATGAGTAAAGTAAAAATGTATAAGTAAAAATGTATCTTTGTTTGAGAAGACAAGGAGAAACCTGATATGCGTATCACTAAGTGAAAGAAGTCCGTTTGAAAAAGCTACACTGTATGATTTCAACTGTATGTCATTCTGGAAAAGGCAAAACTGTAAGGACAGGAAAAATATCAGGGATTGGAGGAAGGGAGGGAGGGAGGGGGGATGAATAGGTGGAGCAAGGGGATGTTCAGGGCTGTGAAATGATTCTCTGTGATATTGTCATGGTGGATCCATGGCATTATGCATTTCCCAAAACTCCCCTAATGTACAACACAAAGAGTGAACCCTAATGTAAATTATGGACTTGTTAGGAATAGTGATAAACAGTGGCTCATCAGTTGTAACAAATGTAGCATACCAGTACAAGATATAAATAATAGTGACAACAAAAGGTGAAAACTAAGGTGGAGGGAGAAAAAGCATATGGGAATTCCTTGTGCTTTCTGCTCAGTTTTTCTGTAAACCTAAAACTGCTCTTAAAAAAAAATAAAATATATTAATTATATATTTTTTTTCCTTAAGTCATCTGAGTGGCTGAAAAACCTCTGGTATTAGAATATCATAGTGATCACATTTATTTCCTTAATAAACATTAAGCCTAATAAATACTGAGCTAAATCTAGGTTCCAAGGAACTGAGATTAAATAGAATCCCTGCCTTCAGCAGTAACAACAACCACATCATTAGCCCACAACAACAATACCTAATATTTATTGACTGCTTCTTCTATTCTAGGCCATGACTTTACTATCTCATTTAATCCCATAACCCTAAGGAGAACAAATAAAGAAAGCAACATTTTATATTGGCTTGACCAATAAGGAAATAATTTTGGAAATTTAAATAACTAGTCAAAGGTCACCCACCTAGGAAAGAATAGAGTTAATAAACACTGTATTGAGGTAATCTGTCAACTGCTGAATCAGAATTCTAGTGTGTCTCCACAGGAACAGGGAGCCAGGTAACATTTTTAATTCTATTTGTAAGGCTGCTTTGAAGAGTTTTGTTCTTAGTGAAATCTTCAAGTAAGATATTAGAACAAATTCCATTATAAACAGGAATCGGATATAGTTCTGCTTCAAAAAGCTGAGTAACTCTTTTTATAGAAGAAATCTATCAGATTATATAATCGTATTTCTCCACACAAATTTGAAAAATCCCTTTATTGCAATTATTGTTGTTGCTATGAAGAGTACATTAGCACAAGATAGAACTCTACAGCGATCATGACTTAAACTACAAGGAAAACAAGTTGGAAAATGAGGTGAAGCTCAAATGTGTATCTATATTTAACTTTATATGAATAGGAGCATTCAACTTCACTGCTGCTTGAGGCCATTAAGATCTTTTTTCATTATCTCAGGAACACTTGCTCAGATAACTTCTAAAATTCATTCAAAAGAGAACAGTGAGTGTCACAAATGAGACAGATCCTTTCTTTCCCACACTAGATTTCATATAACCATCCTTTCAAGGGCTTGTTGACTCACAATTGTGAGACCACTTTGAATTAACATAGTCCTCTTAAGTAGGACAAACTCAATCTAAACACAGCAAACACCACATATAAGTGGTATACCAGGTTTTACGGGCTGCAGAATGGTTAGTAACCTCACAAAGAGCCAGAAAACAGACAAATAAGCACACACACAAGAGAAAATAACTGTAAATCTCATAATGAAGCTAACATCACATTTTGCACAGTTGGATGACAGGAGCCTTGGAGATGAAAAGAGATTGCAGCAAGGTTCCAAAAAAGGTCTATACCCACAACTAGGAAGAACATCTTTGAAATCCACAACTCCTAAATGTTGACTGCTTATCATCTTTGTCTACCCTTACAGCCCTCACTGCCTCCTGCCTCTTGAGTAACTGATATTTTTTTAGTGAAAAACCCATTATCACTCATCCCAATTAGTTTTGTCTAGGACTTTTCCGCCTTTTCATACCCAAAGAAGGTTCTCCTTTGCAAGATAGGCCCACAGATTTTGACTGGAGAAGGAGACCAACTCCTCCTCACTAGGAGGTGTACAAACAGACAGCTCTTTCTCAGGTGACCCTTCCCAGGGCAGATAATCCTGAGAAGCATTGGAAATAGACATCTTCCCATACCTTGAAACCCTCTCTTTAGGGGTAAAAAGTGTCAAACTGTAACATATCCCCAGGAGTGGAAGAAAATGACTCAGTGGCTCTAGTCATGGACTTTAATATGGATGCCAAAGAAAGTGTAGCTGGACTCTGCATAAAATGCCTTGAATTATTGTATCTTCCAACCAGTCCCACAATATACTTGCTTTGTGGTCAAGTAAGTCTGGGAAATGATGAAGACTTGAATATTTATAGTGCAGGAAAAATATTTTAAAATACTAGAAATTTCTACAGTAAAAAATGTGTTCAGTCTTTCTTTACATCCCCCCTCCTCTGTTTTTTTCCCTTCGTAACACCAGTAACATTCCAAGGAGAGCTCTTTAAGAAATCTTTCTTGAGAGTCAAGAAATGTTCATGAATATAAATACTTATGCAGGATGCTCAGTTGATGGATTTCTTTCTTATGTCCAACTATCGAAAGATGATTAGTTCCTGCAAATTGCCCTTCATGACAGAAAGTTCACACACCTCTTCTCATTGCCCTCCATCCATTATCTGGAGCCTAAAACAGAAAATTCAATGTATTATGATGTAAATAGAAAGGTCAGTCATGTCTATCAAGGCAAGGGCTTGTTAGAGAAGCAGAATGTGCCCCTTTTCTGTTGCTCTGAGTCATTTCCCAGAGTTAGTTACTTCCTAACTTTTGGAAAAAATAAACGGACAGATAACACAATCTTTGCTGTTTTCTGATCAAAGGAGATGAGGCACCCAGTGATTTCTGGATGCTGGGAGGATTATTGACTGATGGGCAACTGAAAGGAAGCCCTGCCCCTACAAATCTCTAAACAGGAGTGTGGCTACCCACAGGTAGTGTTCCAGGCTCCTGGAGCAATCATAGGAGTCCCTGCCATTGTCTTATACAGCTCCTGGCATCACTGGCATGTGATGTTCATGCTACGGGCCCAGTGGTAATGACCTGAAGACCAAAAATTGTTTACCTGCCTCCTTGCCCCTCCAGTCTACTCTCTAACAATCATATCTCTACTTCTTTATTCAGAGAAGTTGTTCCAAAATGCATCATGTTTACCTCCTCTCACTCTGAGATCCCATTAAAATGATAGTATAAGCCCAAAATGATAAAGAGAATAGGATGAGGACCAGAAGCAGGTAAGAGGATTTAATAAACCTCTGAAGTAAGGAGACCAGAGAAGGTGACGTGGTATCTAAGGAAACAAGGCAGAGGACACAGCTATAAAGGGCCTGCAAAGGGTTAGCTGAGGAAGGAGAAGAGAGAACATGACTTGTATCAGAGGTGTAAGAGGTAAGGAAGCCATTGCAGAAGGCACACAAAGGAGCAGGCAGTTGAGGAAGGAGGGAACCCAGGAGGGACTTAGGACTTAGAAACTCCAAATATTGCCAAAGGCAGGAGGGAGAAAGGGGATCAAAAAAAGGAGGATACTAGAAAGTCTATATATGGAAGAGTTAACCCCTCTACCAACCTTTCTCATCCTTATGGAGAATGTTGAATATTCAAATATCTACCTGTTAGGCAAAAAGCAAAGAAATAAATATTTGTAAGGTATGTTGTTATTTTTTTATTATTTATTTATTTATTTATTTATTTTTATTTTTATTTTTTTATGATAGTCACACAGAGAGAGAGAGAAAGAGGCAGAGACATAGGCAGAAGGAGAAGCAGGCTCCATGCACCGGGAGCCCAACGTGGGATTTGGTCCCGAGTCTCCAGGATCATGCCCTGGGCCAAAGGCAGGCGCCAAACCACTGCGCCACCCAGGGATCCCAGGTATGTTGTTATTGGCAGAGTTGCATCCCCTCAACATTCATATGTTGAAGTTATTTACCCATAGTACCTCAGAATGTGATTGTATTTGGAGATAAGGCCTTTTAAGAAGTAATTAAAGTAAAATGAGGTTGTCTGGATGGGTCTTAATCCAATATGACTAGTGTCTTTATAAGAAGATGAGATTAAGAAAAACATACACAGAGGAAAGACCATGTGAGGGCACAAGGAGAAGATGGCCATCTGCAAGACAAGGAAATAGGCGTCAGAAGAAATCAGCCCTGCTGACCCTTAATCTTGGATTTTTAGCCTCTGGAGACATGAGAACATAAATTTCTATTTAAACCATCCAGTCTATGGCAATTTGTGTTGGCAACTTTAACAAACTAATACATATATTTTCCTCAACTGAAATTGAATAGTGTCACAGAAAAGTTCTCTGTAATTTGACATTGATGGGTATCCCCACAGTAGTCTCACTACTGTGATCTGATCACCCCAAAGGGAAGGCTGCTTGGTGACAAGGTCCTTGTTCATTACAGATAATTCCCAGCCAGCTTTGTATCACCTAATTCTTAACTATGAGAGTGCCACCATTTATACATAGGTCACCTTAAGAAATTTAAGGGAAGTATCCAACATAAAATAGAGAAACCATACGTAACTTTTTAATGACCATGGATAGAATAGATAATTCAGAGAAAGGAGGCTAATGTTTCCTAGTTAATATTCTTAAAGAAATTTGAGAAAAAGTTACACTATAAATTTTATACATTATAAAATTTTATTTTATAAAAAAATAAGAGTTAAGAAGAAAGGATGGAGAAAATAATAAAAAGCCTGGGAATTGAATATATGGTTGTAAAATAAAACTAACTGAGGAGCTGAAGGATATTTAGCAGCCCTCCCAGAAGGTAGAACACAAAAGAAAGAATCCTAAAAAATAAAAGAATATAATAAACATAGAAGGTCAACAGGAAAGGAACATCTTACAGTAAAAGTCTCAGAAAGAAAGAAAAGAAAAGGGAGGAAATTATTATAAAAATAATGCAAGACATTTTCATACACTTGAAGAGCAAGAATCCCCAATTCAAAAGGATAAATGAAAAAAGATGCAATAATATTGTGAAATTTCAGAATATCAACAACAAAGAGAAAATACCAAAATCTTCAAGTGAGAATGAGAGAGAGGAAAAAGGACTCTATAAAGAAATGAGAATCAGAATGACTGGATTTCTCATCAGCAGCATTGAATAATAAAACACACGGAAAAATACTTTCAAAGTTCTAGAGGAAGATTGTGTTCAACCTGGAATTGTGTACCTTGCTAAAGTATCATTCAAAACAATTATATGGGTAAAGTAAAATCATTTTCAGAAATGCAAGAATTCAGAAAATCTATTTACCATAAATCCTTTCTTAGAAAGTTAACTGCAGAGGTATTCCAGCAAAATATATGTAGGGGATCTCTGGGTGGCTCAGCGGTTTAGCATCTGCCTTTGGCCCAGGGCATGATCCTGGAGTCCCGGGATGGAGTCCCACATCGGGCTCCTCACATGGAGCCTGCTTCTCCCTCTGCCTGTGTCTCTGCCTCTCTCTCTCTCTCTCTCTGTGTGTGTGTGTGTGGGGGGGGTCTCTCATGAATAAATAAAATTTAAAAAAATATATGTAGAAATAAGAAAGAAGTAAATCATGTGATTCTAGATAGTGAATTCAGTTGAGAATTCAATTCTGTGCATTAGATTTAGAAAGTGATCAGTCTAAAACCAGCACGTTATAGTGCTCAAGGAAAGAGGTCTTAAAAAGAGGGGGAAGCTGACAGATTGCTTCTCATGATAGAAAATCAGGGAAAAAAAAGAAACAAAATTAAGATAGTAATTGTAGGAAAAACCGAACTATTGAATATAAAAAAGATGATTTGGTGAAACAAAAACAAGAAAGGAAATGTAATGAGAGTCTATGACTTTACAGCAAATGTATAATAAATTATTATAGACAATAATAAAAAACTATATTGCTTTTTAACTTTTAAATTAGTCCATCGTCAAAACACAGAAGACTTAATTAACTACGATTATAAAAAGATTAACACTGAGGGGTGCCCAGGTGGCCCAGTAACCAGTCCCAATGTCAGGCTTCCTGCTTAGTGAGGAGCCTGCTTTCCCTCTCTCCTCCTCACTTGTGCTCTCTGCCACTATCTCTCTCTCTCTCTCTCTCTCTCAAATAAATAAAATCGTAAAACAAAAAAGATTAACACTGACAGTCTGGAAGGAAAAGTACAGAGGAGAGAGCCTGAGAGATCAAGGTGCCGGAGGCTGTTTGAAAGCTGATGTGACACTAATATTCTCATTTACCATCCAGAAGTTAGGAGATATTGTTTATATTTGAAAGATCAGGAAATGATTCTCTAGATGTATAACTTAAAGGTACAAGGGTAAGATGTAGAACAAAAATTACAAAGCAGGACATTAGTATGGTGATCTATAATGAGGAATGTACAGAAATTGTAGTACATCTCCTTTCAGTCAATAAAATGGATGTCATTTAGATATAGGAAGTGTTTGAGATATTTTAAATGAAAAAAAAGCAGGCCATAAAATTTTAGTTATAAAATGTTCATTTAGTTATTTCTTATGGTGGGTCATTTTCTATACTTCAACACATTTTCTGTGGTTCATCCATTTAGAAGGTGTATTGGTTATCTATTATGTTTTGGCACTATACTAAGGGCTGTGAGTATTGAATAGGAAAGTTTCTGAAGACTTAAGTCACTGCCACACAGCTTACAGTTCAGAAAGGAAGATACATATTGTACTAGTAACTATATAAATTTGTGAACTTTATTATGGAGGACATTCAGCATGTCAGGAGAGCATTGAGCACAGATCCTAAACCTGATCTAGGAATCTAGAAAAGATTCCTTTAACCAGCTACTTTTAAGTTTTAAGTAAGAGAGATTTGTTTTATTTATTTTTTATTTTTTTAAAGCAGAGATTCAAAATTAGGAACATATTGTTATCTCAGTTTAGTAAATGTATGTGCTCAGGAAAAATTCTCAAGGGAAACAAAATCTGACAGAAATTATCTTTCAGTTTTGGAATCTGAGGAATTTTGTATTCTTCTTTATACTTTTCTGATTTTTCCAAGTTTTCTACAAGGAGGTTGAATGGCTTTGACAATAAAAGGTATTGTTATTATTGAAGAAGCAGTTAGATATTTGTGCTGTTTGAGATCCTTTCCCTAGTCCTACCTATGGAAGCTGAAGGCAGTTACTAATCTATCTGAAGCACAATTACAAACAGTTAACAAAAACATCTATCTACCCCAGGCATTTTTAAAGACTGTCATTGGAAATGGTAGATTCATTTCAAAAAAACGTTTCAGTTAGCAAACTTGGAGACTCTCTTTGTTTGCCATGAATTTTGCTAATAGAAGCACATGTTGGGATACTTCACAAAAGTGCAAGGAGATGCAGATGATAGGAATAAGCTCAGTAATTACCTATTATTTCTGATACTTCTTTATTTATTGGGCTACTATGCCATGTCTTTTAGAGTTTCACTGTATCCTATATAGTATGTTTTTATTGAAAAAAGTGGTTTAAAATGTAAAGTGATCCCCATTTTTATGCCCATGTTCCTTGGGTTGTGTTTCTAGGTTCTAAAATCATTTAAATTGGTCCTCCAATGACTAGTTATTCCTACATGTAAGATCAAATGTATCGGTGGTGATTTTTATGGACCTGGACATTTAGTTTACTGTACATAAAAGTCCTCTGTGTTATATTATTTTTCCCATCACACATTTATATCATTATCTTGAGAACCACATAATTGTATCTTATCCAAAGATCTTTTTTCTCCAACATGAACTAAGGTGGAAGATCAAATTAATGCATTTTAAATTGCCAATACACTTAAAAACCTCATGTTATTACTACAAGATTTAGCTAAAAGGTAAATTGCAGTGTGTGCACCCAGAGATTTAAGATCAGCTGCTGGGGCATCAGCATGCACAGAAAATCTGTGTTCTGGTGCCTTAGGAGATTTATTAATATAAGGAAAGTCTAGGGCTGGGTGTGTGAATGTGTCGCTCTGTCTAACTTCATCTTCTCACTTCTATTTGTGTATCTCTGTTAGGAAAGGGGGGAAGTTCAAAGGGCATTGTTATATTATAGAAATAATGCAGGCTGCTAGTCAGAAGCACTGGATTCTAATTTTGACTTTACCGTTAACTAGGTAAGTCACTTTTCCTCTCTGGTTGTCATTCAAACCAAATGATCTGTTTAAGACTTTTCTAATGTAAATGCTCAGTGATTTGAAGAGATCTTACTTTTGGATAAATCGTGGTAAGGGCTGCTGTACACTGTTCTTCTTCCTCTGGGACCCAGGCCTTTTGTTCTCACTCCTATTCAGAGCCACTTTTTCTAACTAACTACATACTCCAGGAAAATCTCACAGCAAAAATTCAACAGTGATGAGGGAGGTAGACTAAAACAACACTCCACATGGCCCACAGGAGAGAGACCTGAAGGGGTGTAGGGTTAGAGTTCAAAACATTCATTTTCTCTGGAGAAACTTTTATGACTTCCTAGCTAAACTTACAGTCTTATCCCTTTCCTAGTTGTTCTTCTGTATCCAGTTTCCTGAACGTCTTCCAAATCTCCTTCCACCTCCAGATTGACATCTAACTGGATTCTGCCAGTTGGGACACTGAAGGGGCGATAAAGGAAAGTAAGCAGAAGAAGTTAAGATCCATTCAAAGGGGAAAAAAAGCTCACAAAAACCTCCAAGTTTCTCTTTGTCCCCTGTCAACATAAAACACTGCTTTCCTGTAGAAGCTTAACCATTTTCTATAATTTTGATCTTCTATTAACAACCTACATGTTTCCCAGAAGACACATTTCTTTGTTCTCTTATGTACATTTCATCTCAAAGTATATTCCATAGCACAATGATCCAACTATGGGGTGGATTCTCTGGAAACTGCCAGCATTTCTCTTTCTACCTTCCTTTTGTTTCTAAAAGCAGTTGTGGATTAGTATAGATCCAAAATAGGAGTAGAAATGTGTGTTGTATCATTTATCATATAGCTACAAAGGAAGCAGCAGAGCTAACCAGAAATGAGCAATAGGGATTTCTGATAAACAGCTTTGATGGTTATTTAGAAGCTGAATTAAATCACAGACACCAGAGTTTGGAATTGCATTTAGAACTGCAAAATTAGAGGTAACTACCTCCTACTTATATGATAGTGTCAATTTAATTTGAAATTTGAGTATTGGTTTGCAAGCTTAGCATTCCATTTTGTGGTAATGCAGAGAGCATTTATGTATTTATCAGGTTTCCTGATAAGAAACAATTAAAAAAAAACTCTGGGTGTCCCTGATGTGGATACTATAATGGATGTTGATAGTATTTAGGAGTAAAATGAATGAGATTATCTTTTTATGCGCTTGATATTCATCAATGAAAATATGCAACTGATGAATTTGGCCCTGTTATCAGGCAGTTTAAGCCTTTCCCAATATAGAATAAGTTAGAATAGATGCTTCTCTCACTGTGTTTCCATCAAGTAGACCATGAAGATGTATAGCTTATGCACCTCTCACTTATCCTTTCTCTCTCTCATTTGGGAATAGAAAAATCCACAATTAATTTTGGATTCTGACAGGAGAGACCAAGGAAGGGCAGTGAAGTTGGGGGGGGGGTGGAATTTAAAATCTTCCTGCATTCCCAACTGACCCTGGTTTGGGCCATTTCATCATGGAAGCAGGCTCCTGCCAACCATTTAAAAAACTTGAGCCTCATTTCAAGAGACTTCTTGGTCTTGCTTCTGTAGACTAATAATTCTTTTATTTGTTCTTGGGAAGAAAAAGCAGGTAGAGGCTTAAAAACTAGATATCCCTGCACTTCTATCTCCTTGTTCATCATTCTTAACCAGGCAGAAAGGTGATGGGACACTTGTCTCTAGCAAAGGGATATTTTCAGATACTGAGGTGTTGCCAGAGACAACTGGTCAGAGAAGTTAGAAGGGAGAGGAAAGAGGAGAATCCAGATCCAGCCCTTAGAATTGGTTGCTGCTTTCCTCATAGGACTGTGGATTAATTGACCTCCTGTCCCTCACACTTTCTTTTCCCCTCCCCTCTCATTTGATGCTCTTTCTGACTCCAAATGTGACCTTTCCTAGTAAGAGGTCAGTATGTTTTTACATTTGGGAAATCTCATTCAAGAATTTTTGTCAATGGACAAGTCATAAGAAGCCCTTCCATTTTAGGGCTCGTTGACGTCACCAAGGAGGCGATAAATATCTGTTGATATAATTGGATGTGAGATTCAGTGTTGAGATAGCAAAACTCTGCCCCTCGTTCTCTGGCAGGGCCCTATGATTTATGCAGGAGCAGAGGCAGCACGCAATCGAGCTGTCAAGAGAGCGTCAGCTTATTAGGCAAATGCTGCGTGGTTTCTGAAGAGGGTCGACGCTATAAAATCCCACTCCAGGCTCTGGTGTGGAGAAACTCAGAGCCCAAGTCCGTTGAGAGACTGAAGAGAAAGATAAGAGGGGAAGAAAAAAAGAGTGAGGACAGAAAGGAGAAGGGAAGAAAGCCCCTGGAAAAGCCCCGGAGACGTTCCTCTGCTGAGAGGCGGCAGCGCCCCCACTCACCTGCAGAAGCACCTCAGAAGGTAGGGAGCGCCTAGACGGAACCTCGCCTCCAACTTTGCGTTGCCTGAGCTGCCATGGTGTGCGCGGCAGAGCCGGGTGTCCCCGTGAGGGCATATGTGTGAGTGTGAGTGTGTGTGCATGTGTGTGTTTGCTGACTGTGCCTCAGGGTGCCGGTAGTAGCCGGGATGTGTCAAAAGCAAACTTAGACGGCTGCTAATCGTTATTGCAACTGTCAGTTACTCCTCGCTGGCTTTGAAGATGAGTCCCCGCCATCGATCCCGACCCCTGAGAGAAGGACACAAAGGGCTGGGATGGAGAAAGGGGAGGAGAGGAGGAGGCAGCAGTTCTCAGTTTGGAGGACAACGCCAAAACACCCGGAAGGAGGGGCGGTTATTACAGTGGGTGAGATCCAAATTGTGTAGATCTTCTCTAGAGCTCGGGGAATCCGCTTTGGGGATCGTTAGAAAGGGGACCCAGAGACCCTTCGATGATTTGGAAGAAGGGTCACTCCAGCCTAGCGAGGGGCTGAGCTTTGGTGCTAGCTGCAGGCGTCCCCTTGCCTGCCCACCCCCCGCCCCCACGGCAACTCCAACTCTAGACGTCCTGGTTCGAGAGCTTCAGCACCGCGGACAGTGCCTGCCCGAACCCCGGAGGCGCGTCCACGGGCGTCCTGTGGGAAGACCCCGAGCGCGCCTCCCTTTTGAGCTGAACTCTGACCAACTCTTTCTCTCTCTCTTCCCTTCTCTCATTCCGCTCTCCGCCCACCTCTGTGCCGCAGCGAGTGCCCTTAACATGCGGCTGCCCCTGCTCCTGTCCGCGGGCGTCCTGCTGGTGGCTCTCCTGCCCTGCCCACCATGCAGGGCCCTGCTCAGCCGGGGGCCCATTCCGGGCGCCCGGCAGGCTGCGCAGCACCCCCAGCCCCTGGATTTCTTCCAGCTGCTGCCGCAGCCCCAGCAGCCCCAACAGCCGCAGGCTCGGCCCGTCCTGCTCCGCATGGGGGAGGAGTATTTCCTCCGCCTGGGTAACCTCCACAAGAGCCCTGCGGCTCCCCTCCTGCCCGCCTCTTCACCTGTCGCTGGCGGCAGCGGCAGCCGCCTTTCGCCGGACGAGGCGGCCGCCAACTTTTTCCGCGCGTTGCTGCAGCAGCTGCCGCTGCCCCGCCGCCAGCTCGACAGCCCCGCTGGTCCCGCCGAGCGCGGGGAGGAGAACGCCCTCGGCAGCCGCCAAGAGACCCCGGAGAGGGAGAGACGATCCGAGGAACCTCCCATCTCGCTGGATCTCACCTTCCACCTCCTCCGAGAAGTCTTGGAAATGGCCAGGGCCGAGCAGTTAGCGCAGCAAGCTCACAGCAACAGGAAACTGATGGAGATTATTGGGAAATAAAACGGTGCGTTTGGCCAAAAAGATGCAGCATTTAGCACAAAAAAATAAAAAAATTAAAATAATACAGCATTCTGTACCATATCGTTGCTCTGATACCATTTGTTTATTTTTTTAAAGCTTGAAGCCTAGACGATGTACAGCAAGAGAGCCTATACTCCTTAATTAGCATGCACAAAGTGTATTCACGTGCAGTATCAGCAACAAAATGTTATTTCTATTGTCTACTTTCAGTTTCCATTTCCAGGTGTCTTTAATGGTGTTTGAAAAGTATAGACCCAGAAGGAAATGTTTTGAAGCAGACAAAAGTTACCCGATTTATTTTGTTGTGGTCTGAGCCAAAGAGAATGTCATTCTCTTGGGTGGGTGAAACAAAATCTGTAAGCTCTTTGAATCAACCTTCCTGTAACAGTTCCAGTAATAAAACATCTTTCCAATCCTTGGTCAATTTGGTTGTGTAAGACAATGTTGAATATTTATATTTTTAATAAAAGCTGCAAAGGTAATCATGACTTTATTTTTCCTTTTTAATGTTCATAGGAGTAAAACTCTCAGCTCCTGGCTTCCTACATGCTGACTTCAGCACAAGAGAAAACAAAACTCCTTGCATTAATTTCCTACTTAAAATACAAACATATGCAAGTGGCTTACACAGATACTTCAATTGCCTTGGACTCATCTTTGTACCTCAGTTACTCCTCTGAGGTTAAGTTAAATAGTTTGGGAAGTTTCTTCCCGCTTTAAGACTTGGTAATTCTACGAATGGGAGATCAATTCATAATGGAAATAACACTTAACCCTGATTGTTATAAGACAGTAAATAACTGGAGAGGGCGGGGACAGAGGAAAGGCAAAGAGAGGGGTTCGCAGAGCATTCCTCTAAACTGTAGGGCCAACATACTGTTTGTTTTTGTTTTAGGTTTGAGAAAGACTCACTTTGTCAAGCTACTACTTTGGTACTGTAAAATATACTTTTTCTGTGCTATTTTCCAGTGCCTGCTTCTAATAGGAGAAACTTGATAGCTTCCCACTTCAAGCAACAAATTTAATTGCTATGAAATGGCACTTGGGAAAATGTTTCACATAAAAAATATTTGACTTTAATAACTTTGCCAATGGTCTTCTCATTTATTTCTATATGAATCCTAATCACTGTTATTCTTAAGAATATTAACTATCTCTATGCATTTCTAAAATGGAACAGGCACATCCAATGAGTTTTACCATGCATTTATCTTTGATAGTTGGGTTATAACTTACAAAAATTCAATTGAATGTTTAATACCCCCAAATTAATTTGGGTGTATGGAGATGCTTTTCCCTTGGGACCCTTTAAATACACTTGACTATTAATAAGATCACATGAAACACTGAATAAGTCATTATAAGACTAAGTTGTTAAAAACAGCATTTATTTAAGAGTTCATACAGAATAAAGTAACACTTATTTGTTACTGTTTTGAAAGAGGCATTATGGTGGGACAAAACACGATTTAAATATATATGTATTTTAAATGTGCATTGTATATATATATGTATATATATATATACATATATATATATATATATATTTAAATACATGCAGTTATTCTGCAGTTCACCAGGTTGGTGCCTCAGTAGATACATAAGCAAGTAGACAGTTCCTGCTGGAAATTCTTTTTCGGTTTAAGTGCTTGATATCTGCATATCTAACTAAGATTAGAAAAATATCACCAGAAATGTCCTAGGCCTTCAGCCTTCTGGACTATGAAAGTGTCACCAGAGTTAAGGAACATTTCTGGATATGCTTCCAGTGACATCTGTTATGGAAAAGAGGAAACCTTTGTAAAATGTTTCATATCTTTGGTCAATGATTTACCTTTTGTCCATATATTGATAAATCAGTCACTTCTGAATTAACACTGAATTTCACTGACCAACTGCATTGTTAAAGAAGAGAGTAACAGCTACTATGATATCATAACAAAAGCCAGTGCCTATTAGAGACAAGAGTGTAATGCACACTTTTTCAACACTTGCCACTCGTTATGGACGCACACACACATATCACACCTACATATCTTCATAATGTTTCCCACACAGAAAAAATATTTGCGTAAGATCAAGTTTCTTTCTTCCAATACTTTCAGCAACTGTTTTCTCAAAATTATTTTCCCTCTGGAAAGTCATCTGGAATTAAAGTGTTTTGTGGGGGGTTTTGTTTGTTTGTTTTTTTGCAGAAATCCTGTTCAAAGGTCCCTTTCATCACCTGCATCATATTAATCTCATCTAGGTTCCCTGCTGCTGGTGTGCATCTCAGCCAGGCAGACAGAGGGCCGCAGTTGGAATGAACATCATTCATTCAGGGAGTTCAACCAGGAAAAGGAGAAGACATGGCGAGCTGGCTCAGAGTCAGCTCCATTCCCACTCCCTGAAGCTGCAGCCTGTACCTGGAGGGGAGGGTCTTCAAATCCAATCTGCAATAGAAGAGAATCTGAATCAGAGGAAGAAGAGCCTAATCCTTTTGGGTTGGTCCAGTCACTTTTCTACTCAGGAGAAATGATAATAATAATTATTATTATAAAGGACATAATTATTATTAGGGATGGAAAGCAAGCTCAGGCTTTCTTGGCTATGGCCAAAAGCCATGAATATAATTCACACTCATGATCCAAAAAGGGGCAGCAGTGATGCATGCAATGGAGGAAAGTTCTTGGGAAAGAGTCCAGGCTATTGTTTTTAAGTCCACTTGTATATGATTTACTGAGATGAAAATGGCATTGAACTAATAGGAATTTGTGGTTAGAAAAGTCTGCAATGTACAACATGATGACTATAGTTAACACTGCTGTATGACATATTTGAAAATTGTTAAGAGAGTAGACTCTTAGGGTTTTCATCACAAGGGAAAAAGCCACAAGTGAAAAACCATTTTTTTCTTTTTGGCATCTATAAGAGATGATGGATGTTAACTAAATTTATTGTGATAACCATTTCATAATATATGTAAGTCATATCATTTATAACTTAAACTTATAGTATATTTTTTGCAAAGCTGCAGCTTAGTTTTGAGCAAATCATGAATGAAAGAACTTTTCTTTCTCTAGGCAATAACATCTAATAACATCAAAATTTCTAAAGAGATATCTTTTATATAGATGTCTCTATAAAAGGTATCTATCTTTTATAGACCCCAGAGAGATATAGTTGTGATTTTGAAGTAATTGATCAATCCGATCTCATAAGTGAAATTTATTTCTGTTGTCTTGAATTTAAAAAATAATAATGAAATGGGGGACAATCATAAAGAAGTCTTTCTGAAATGCAATTAGATATATAAACTCAGACACTACATTTAAAGGTACTCTGACATGGGCATTAAGGAAGGCATGTGATGTGATGAGCAGGGTGTTATATGCAACTGGTGAATTATTGAACTCTACATCTGAAACTAATGTTCTATATGTTGGCTAATTGAATTTAATTTTTTTAAAAAAAAAGAAATGCTCAGTCTCAAAAAAAAAAGGTACTCTGACAAACACAGTTCTTCCTATAACTACTGAAGATGCTAACATATTTTGATGACTTCACTGGTAAGATTATCCCACTGGATTAGAATGGCACTGATTTCAAAGCAATGAGGTAGGCACATGCATTCAATGCTGAAGCCCTGAGTAATTTTATGAAGCTGCTGTATGAATGGACGATAGCTGGCATGACGAAGCAGAACTTTGGTAAGTGCACTGTTGTTGTTGACACTTAAAATAGTTTCGAGTGAAAAATGAGTGCTTTTCCTGCATCTTACAGATTTTACCCTAAATATATGTTTTGGGGTAATGTTTCAAGTTCCGTAAAATTGTCCCAAGTCTTCATGGTCTTGGGATTATCCTTCCCACTTTGACGGGAAGTTGAGAAGCGTCATGAAATCATACTTGTTTACAGTAGAATAAAACTGAAGCAAGTAGTTTTCCATGAAGGAATAGTTGAGACATCAAGTGAAATTGGGCTTTTAAAAAAAGGCTGCCATTATGCTATTAGATTCGGTTTGGTAATGGGTTAGATTCCTCAGTGTCCTTGAAGTTGATGTGGGAAAAACAATATCCGGACAGAATCCTACGCCTGTTTATGCACATCAAACTTTTCTCTTCCCCACTGGTCACATTACTCTAACTAATCCTAAAAACAAAAAAAACAAAATAAAACAAAAAGCAAACAAAAAAAAATCCAAACCCAAGTGATCTGGACATATCAGTGATCTGTAGAGACCTTTTCCTGATCATTTTATAGGACTAAATCTGATTTCTGCCTAAACAAACAAACAGACCACCAGTGTTCATTCTGTAGCCTCTTTTCCTTGAAAGCAACCCCTAATCTAGAGGAATCTTCCATGACAGCTGTTCTGAAATACCTAAAAGTGCAAAACTAGTTGGGTAAGGTATATTCTGTAGAGAGACACTGCTGGTGGCTAACAAACCATTTGATACTGCTTTTGGGACTAATATATACTTTTGCGCTTTTCTGCACTTGAGATTAAAATCTATCTTCTATTGAAAACATTCTAGCTGTTAGCACCTGACAGCCTTCAAAACTTGGTATCAAGTAGTCTGGGTTTGCTCTTTCTACATCCCCATGTTTTTGTGCAGTTATTAGATTTCCTTCTAAATTTTATGGACAGGTGCTGTCTTTTAGAGAAGAGAGGCCAATGCCAGAATGGGTGCCAAGACCAAAGATTTATCCTGAGTATTTTCAGGTGATTACACTATCTCTTTGGTCATGTACATGTAAACTTGGGGACCCACCAACCATCTTAGCAAAGATGTTCTATGTGAAGAGGCTGATCCTGGTTTTGAATCTTTATTTACTAGCTGTATGTCTTGGATAAGTCAGTTAATCTCTCTGAGCCTTAGTTTTTTCTTTTTGTAAAACAGAGATGAGACCCTATCTCACAAGGCTGTTATAAGTACTGAGTAAATAAAGTAATACACCTAAAACACTTTGCACATGCCTTACTTATATTACATGTTTTAAAAATGTGTATTTCCTCCTTCCCTCCCTCCCTTCCTTCCCTCTTTTCTTTCTTTCTTCTTAGTGAAGAGGCTTTCCTACCATGCAGAATCACCTGGGGACTGGGGACTGCTTATGAGGAAACATATACAACAGCAGTGACCCCCAGTAAGGAAAGACAATTATATTTGCAATGCTCATCTTGTCATAATTGGATATTATAGGATTTAATTCCTGTGGCATATTGTAATTATGATTATACGTGACCTGTCCAGTGTCTCTCCATGTGGCCCAACTTTATATATGGCTCTTTCCTAAAGGAAGAATAAGTTAAACATTTAGAAACCTCCTTTCTATAAGTATAGCCCATTAAATCATAGTTTTTCCTATAGCCTTCCTCAAATAGAATTGTATAAAAAAATTAAAAAGAATTAGATATACACAGTTCTTTAAAAAGTTTTCCAAATGCTGGTTCTCCATCACAGGAAATGATATTTCTTGGGAATACAGATGTTCCATGAAGCTGAACAAAAGACAGAAAATGACAAGCATTGAACTTCCCTACCTGCTTTTGAGTTTGTCCTGCATTTCAGTTTACTTTGAGATGTATAAAAAGATGAGGAAAGGATTATTAGTTCCTTATTACTTCTAAATTTTACACATTTTTCTCAACAGACCAAACAAACTTCCAACCATCACCTAACACTATGTGGGCT